GCCTGGTCATCTCTGCCTTCTGAATCTCCTGCAGGACCAGGAGACTTGGAAGGTTAGCAAGATGGAGAAGCAGCTGAGACCTTTCTGCCATTGAGGGACTTCCTTGAAGTCCTAATTTTCTCTATGGCAGATAATACTATAAAGAGGGGAGAACTATAATTTATGGTCTTTTAGAAGAGTCAAGATACCATCATCATGGCTGGAGGAAGGAATACCAAGACAGTATGGGAGTGAATCTGGTACAAGGAGTCAGCCACACCCAGAGCCTCCCATGGATGGCAAGCTGCCCTGAATTCTACTTGGGTATAAGACAATTACTTCCCCACCTTCTTTTATTTATTTATTTATTCATTCATTTATTTATTTATTTGGCAATTGGGGTTGAGTGACTTGTCCAGGGTCACACAGCTAGTAAGTGTCAAGTGTTTGGTTTGAGGCCAGATTTGAACTCAGGTCCTCCTGACTTCAGGGCAGGTGCTCTATCCACTGTGCCACCTAGCTGCTCCCCCCTTCTCTTATACTGAAGAATGCTGAGAGAAACTTCTCCTTCACCACTATACTCTGTAAGTCATGGGAATAAGTGCCAGCATGGAAGAGTGGATGGGAGCAGAAAAAAAAAACAAAGAGGCAGGGATGCCTATCTTGGTGGAGAAGTAAAAGAGCTTGTCTCTTTTACTTTAATTTAATGCCTCTTAAAATTGCAGCAATCCCTGTGTTGTATGTCTGAATCTATTAGGCACATATGGGAAAGTAATTAAAAGTGTAAACTATTCCAAGGGGTAGGGGCAGAGCCAATATAATTGTAGTAATTACTATATTTTAAAATACATTTGTATTTATAAATGTTCCCTTAAATTAGAACCCTGGAAATAGAAACATGTTTAAAGGATAAATGGTGTTTTCCCATGGAATGTGAAGGGCCAAAGCAGCTGGTGTCCATTGTGGGGAAGTGTTTAGGCTTTGATCACCACTTGGTGGTTGACTCAGGTATTGCTCTCCAGGTTTTTCCAAACCCTTTTACTGGATTTTGACTATGACAGCTATTTCCTCATGTGTTTAAAGGAGGTAGTTTGTGTGTGTTTTCATATAGTGCCTACTGTGTTCCAGGGACTGTGCTAAATGCTTTTATTTTTGAACAGATATTATTTCATTTGGTCCTTAAAACAACCCTGCAAGATAGGTATTATTTCCATCTCCATTTAATAGTTGAGGAAACTGAGGCAAACAGAGGTTAAGTCTTGCCCAGGATCAAACAGTTAGTGTCTGAGGCCAGATTTGAACTCAGGTCTTCTAAATCCAGGTCCAGAGCTCTATTTACTGTGCTACCAAATGCTTCTGTCTATAGATATAAGCCTACTAGTGGTACTATTGAATCATACAGGTCATTCACAGTTTAGTAACTTTTTGGGCAGAGTTCCAAATTGCTTTCTGGAATGGTTGGACCAATCCATAGCACTGCACTAGTGTACTTGTTCTCCTGCAAACTCTCTAACATTTGTCATTTTCTTTTTTTGCCATCTTTGCCAATCTGATAGATGTGAGGTAGAACCTCAGAGTTGCTTTCATTCACATTTCTCTACTTATTGGTGATTTGGGACATTTTTATATGACTGCTAATAGCTTGAATTTCTTCCCTTGAGAACTGTCTGCTCATGACCTTTGACCATTTATCAACTGGGGAGTGGTTCCTAGTCTCATAAACTGGAATTAGTTTCTTATGTATCTTGGAAATGAAACCAAAGTGTTGTCTTATGGAAGAAGGATAAAGCTTGTTTTGGTAGCCTCAGAAAGTAGAACTAGGCTAGAAAATGTAGAGAGAAAGTTTGGGTTCAACATAAGGAAAAAATTATCAGCAATGAAAACTAATCCAAAATGGAACAGATGCCTTCTTGAGGTTGTGAGTTTCCTGTCATTGGCTGTATTCAAGTGGAATTTTGATAATCACTTATGGAGGATATTGTAGTCTGACTTCCTCTTCAGATATAGGTTGGACTAAATGTCTGCTGAGGTCAAGTCTAGCTCGGAGATTCTGTGATTTGATGATTCGTCAGGCCTGGGATCTTATGGGTTGTCTGAGAACCGTGTTTGGGACAAATTTTATTGTAAGGAGAAAACCAGGAAAAACTGCTAGGGTATATCAAATTCTTAAGGAAAAGCTACAGGGGATCTCTAGACCATTGGGAGGGGCCATGGCCTCTCTGTCCTTTAGAGGAGCTGTGGGTTCTATGTACCACAGAGACACTCTCATATTCACTTCCAAATACTGCATTACAATTACCTCCTTTTCTTTTCTTCTTCAGCTAGGCCAGGGAGGGTGTCAATAAATAAGCCATGTTCCCAAGGGGAAAAGGAGAGAGAAAGGGTGGGGGGGGGAGAGAGAGACAGAGATAGACAGAGAGAGAGAGAGAGAGACAGAGAGAGACAGAGAGAGAGAGAGAGAGATCATTGAGATTGGAAGAGGAATGGAATTAGAAAAGGGATAGACTTTAGGGAATGACGATGGGAAGATTAAGTGGGTGGGGCATGCTACAATGGAATGGGGCCTGCCATTGTCTGGAGAAATGAGATAGGTATTGTGTGTGTGTGTGTGTGTGTGAGTGTGTGTGTGTGTGTGTGTGTGTGTAGGTGGGGAGGAGAGTGTTTCTGTTTTCCATAAATTGGGACCAGATTCCTTTTTGGGACTCAGGGATATGGGAGAAGGGCTGGGAAAGGTTCCCTTCCTCTATTGATGAGAGCCATGGCTTTGCTCCTTGGAGGCCCTTCAGGTTTCACAGATCTGAAAACTCCACCCAGCTGAGCCATGGCAACAGCTAAGAGCCCAGTGCTGTTGTGTTATCCCCTTGAGTAAAGGAGAGGCCAAGGAGAAGAGAGCAGCTGTTTCAGCTTTGCCTTGGGGTGGGGGGAGAAAAAAGAAGAGAACAGAAGTCTGTTTAGAGAATTTGGGGAGATATCCTGGGGGGGGGGGTCACAAATCATTCTTCAGACCTCACTGCTTCCAGGGTCAGAAAGGCTCTGGCTCCCTTCATTCTGTACCATCCCTAAACTCATCTGCCCAGAACAAAAGGCCCCCCACAATTTGATGCAACCCCCATTTTCCAACCTTGTCTCATATCACTCCCATTCACTTAGCCTAAACTTCTCTCTGCCCCACAGATGCACGGTGCTTTTTCCCACCTTATTTTATGCTGTTCTTCATGACTGAAACGTCCTTCCTCCTCCTCCTGTTGAATTCTTTTCCATCCTTTGAAACCCAGCTCCAGTGACATTTTCTCCTAAATCCAATCCTAATTTCATCAATCAGACAGCATAATTTGTTAAGTCTCTGTTACATGTCAGGCACTATGCCCCTATGAAAACCTCCCTAATCCTGTAGTCAGGAATGATCATCTCTCTCAGAACTCACATATCATTTGGTTCTCTAACACTCAAATGTTCTTATCATGTCTTACTGTGTCCTATAGTTATCAGCATTGATATTTTATCCCTTTTCTAGACTGTAAGTTCCATAAGGGGAGAACCATATCTTATCTAAACTTTGTATTTTCCCCCAAAACTCGTCATAGTGCTCTGCAAACAAGAGGAGTATAATAAATGTTTTCTGAAACATGTACGAAAGGCTGAACAGGTTCGTTCTAGATCCATCAGTACTTCCAAGATAAATGCATCATGACAGTCCCACCAGCGTCTTCTGAATAATAATAATAATGATGATAATAAATAATAATAATATCCTCATCACTGCCATCATCATTGTTATTAATAGCTAGCATTTACATAGCACTTTAAGGTTTGCAAAACACTTTATATATGTTGTTTCATTCGATCACTGGCATTGATTCAGTCCCATTTGGATATCCCACTTTGGAGAGTGAATATTGGCCCAGCCCCACAGTTCACTTCGGATAGACAACACTGACCTAGTCATGCTGATATGCTTGGGAGAGGAAGTCCCATTCCTGAGGCACCAGCATCTGCTCCAACTCCATCACTGCTTTCAGAACAGACAACTCTATTAAAGCTCCATCATATGAATATATATATTGGAAACTGGAAGGGACCTTGGAGGCCATCCAAGCCAATGCCATATTGCAGATGAGAAAATAGAGGCACAAAGACACCAAATGATTTGCCCAAGGTCACACCAGTAGCAGAATCAGGATCTGAACCTAGATTCCCTAATGCCAAGCCTAGTACTCCTTCTAACACATCACATTGGAGCATCCCTTGGATGGATAACTTTACCTCTCACCCATCATTTTCTTCAGGATGGACAATTCAGACTCAAAAGGACTAAATAATGACCTGGACATGCATCCTGAATGGTGAAGAAGAAACGATCACCTTTTCAGAAGCCACTCCCCCAAATACTTTGAAGGACAATAAGGGAATAAAGACAGACAAGATTAGGTCTTGGTCATTATTTTTTTTTATTGTAGGAACATCATAGGGACAGAATGGATAAGAGGATGGAAGAACTCATCATTTTAAATAACTGATATATCCCCAAGAAAACAAATATAAAAACATGGAATTTCAGATGAGAGAATAGGGAATTTAAGGAATAACTCTTATGTGGGCCAGAAAAGGGGCCGTGGAGGAAGCGTATAGTGTAGAAATGGAATTAATTCAACAGGGACTGAGCTGGGAACAAGGAGATGCAAGAGAAGAGTTTAAGAAAGAAGGTAGGGGGTAGAGTTCGGGATAGTCATCAGCAGAAATAAATGTCAATCAGGAGGAAACTGGTGGGGTGATTGCAGAAGAGAGGGAGGGAGAGAGAGAGGGAGGGAGAGAGAGAGAGAGAGAGACAGACAGACAGACAGACAGACAGAGATCCTGGCAGTGGAAGAGAGGACAGGATTGGGGGTAATATGGCTCCAATTCCAGATAAGTTGTGCTTAAATGACCTCCCCTCCCTTCTTTTTTTCCCTTTTAAAGTGTGAGGCTATATGATAGAGAGGGGATGAAAAGCAAACAACTAACAATCATAATTGTATGTGCAGGGGATGAACTTGCCCAGAAAGTGGAGAACGACAGAATGAGTCAGGAAGCAAAATCCAGCAAGTTGTTGTTTACAAGCAACATGCTTAAAACATAAAGATTCATAGAGAGGATGGGCAGCTTATTCCCAGCCCCAATTCCGGGTCCGCTCCAGCCCCAGCAGGAACCAAAGGATGGACACCTACGTTCCAACCCGTCGGTACCGTCTTCATGGACAGCTCCACTTCAGCCACAGCAGTACCCGAAGGATGAGCGATTACGTCTCAGACCACCGGGGTCTTCATGAATCTACAGCTCTGGCCCAGCGCTCTCAACACTCTCTTCACCGGCAGCATCCTTTTCATGGACAGCTCCTTTCCAACCCCACCAGGACCTTGGTATGGACAACTTCGTCTTTGTCCTGCAAGGTCCGCTTCAGAGGCAGTTCCCATTAGTTCTCTGAGGATCTACAGCTAGGTCTCAGCCCCATCAGAACCCTCTTCATGGACAGCTCCATTTCAGCTCAGTCACGGACAGCTCCTCAGCAGTGGCAGCTTTGCACTCTTGGCGGATCCCTCAGTATCCTCAACACTGAAAGATCAGTTTTCTGGCTCTCTCATCCCACGGTCCCTTGAGACCTTGGACCCCGGCCCTGTTTGCTCCCCTGCAGCTGCGCGCCTCTACCCAGCAGCCCCTCTTCCTCTTCCTTACGACATCATCCGTGCCTAACCGGATGGCTCTTCAGCATCCTTTGCCTCCGCGGTCCTCGCCCCCACACCGCTGCCCTGCCTGATTCCCCTACACCCGATCCCCTCATCTGCACCGGATCCTCTCGGTCTCGCATCCACCAACCAGCTTCCCGGCCAGGCTCCCCTCCCCCTCATCTCACCTCCTCCCCCTTTCCATCCTGCCCCTCCCTCCCCCTCCCCCTGCGGCACTGCCGCCTGTGCAGCAGCGGTATCTGCTCCGGGTGTCGCGGGCAGCGGCGGCGGTCGCGGGGTGCTTGGGGCTCGCTGGACAGTGGGGGGGAGGGCGAGCTGCTAGCGAGGGAGCTGGGGCGGGGGCTGGCGGCGCCGTCCACCCCTCCCCCCATCTCCGCAGTCGGGCAGCCTTTCCCCGGGAGAAGATGGCGGATCGGGCGGAGATGTTTTCTCTCTCCACCTTCCACTCCCTGTCACCGCCGGGAGGCAGGTAGGTACCTGGGGCACCCAGACCTCGGTTGGTTCCCGCACCCTCTCCTGCGACCCCTCCCACTCCCCCTCCTTTCCGGCCCTCTCCAGGTCACCACCACCCCCCCTCCTCGTTTACTCATTTACCCCCTCCCCTGGCCCCTCTCCCGTCCCCATCTCCTGGTCCCTTATCCTTTGGTTTCTCACCGTTCCTTCCTCATGCGCTGGCTCCCTTGCAACCTCCTTTCCTGGCGCCCCCCCTCCTCATCCTCTGATTTCTCCACCCCCTGCCACCCCACCTTTGATCTCCCACCCTCTGTCCCCCATCCCCTGACCAACTGTGCAGCTACTCTCTGGCTCCAGGCCTCCTGCCCCTCCCCCAACTCCTCCAGTCTCTGGGTCTCCCCATTTCTTATCAGACCTGCACTCTCCTTCTCGGGCCTAGATCCTTCATCCCCCGAAGTCGGGGACGCAATGAGAGGCCGTAGCTGGCCACAGTCTTGGGCCTAGGGCGATTGCTCCTAGGTCCCAGACCTGCAACATCCCTGTACCACTGCAGGCCCAGTTGCAGGCTGGGCCTTGGACAGCAAAGGGTGATGGAGCTTGAGTAAAAGGCTGGGGTCTAGGGCCTGAGGAAAGGGGATGGAGTCTGTGGAAGAGTTTGGGGGAAGGGGATAGGGAGGATGGGGGATGGGGCTTGGGCCAGAGCTGAAGTTAGGGGGTGGAGCCAGGGGAATAGTCTAGGGAAGAGAAATGGAGTCCTTGGGGAGGGGTAGGATACCTGGGGGAGGGAGACAAACAGGGCCTTGCTCCTTCCATCATGCTCCACCCCTTCTCTCCTCCCCATCAGCTGCTGCAGCACCAGTCCTGACACCCCCCCTCCCCTCTCCAGCACAGCAAAGCTCCCCTGGGGAAGGGTGGGGCTGTGGGATAGGCCCGAAGATGGGGAACAGAGAGGAGAGGGGCCCCTGCCCTAACCTAGACCTTTGGGCAGGAACCAACCTATGGGAGCTGGCGTAGTCCCACCCTGCTCTGTCCTGCCCTGGGGGAGCCAAAGTTCTGGTGCTGGTGTGGAATCAGTCTGCTAGGTGGAGGGGGGATTGATGGAAGCTGAGGGCTCCAGGAGGTGGGGCCTGAGAGGGCCTTTGTTGTGGGGCTAAGGTGAGCCCTTGGAGAGCCAAGGGACTCAGACATGGCAGTCAAGGGCACAGTAGGTCCCTACCATTCATCGTGTTGATGAAGCCCTTATTTGTGCCAGTTGCAGCAGCGCTAGGCACTGGCAGGGAGACAAAGACCAGTGAGGCCTGGGCTTTGCCCTTGTAAGGGGTGGAGGGGGTACACGGTTAGCCTAAGAGGAAAACATAAACAACTGTAGCACAAGCTCATAAAGAATAAGGGCATCAGAAAGGGAGGGATAAGCCCAGTGCTCTGAGAATGCTCAGGGGAAGCTTGTTACCAATTGGGCCTTGGGGGAGGGGATCAGAGAAGGCCACCTGGAGGAGGTGGCGTTTGAGCTGGGCCTTTAACGACAGATAGGATTTCACCAAATGCAGATGGAGAAGGGGGATAGCATTTCAGGCAGATGAGACGTTGCAAAGGCATGGAGATGGGAAAGCATGAGATTTGTACCAGGCCATGGAGAGCCTTCCAGTTGGCCTGGAGAGAGGTTAAAGGTAAGGCTGGAAAGGGAAAGTTGTGTCAGCTTGCAGAAGACTTTAAATCAGAAAAAAAGCATTCCATTGGCATTAGGGAGTCACTGAATGGTTTGGGGCAGGGGATGATCTACATAAGAGAAAATAATTTGATAATATGATCAGGACAGATTGGAGACAGAGGAGAGACTGGAAACAGGGAGACCAGTTAGGAGGTTCTTGCAATAATCCAGGTGAAAGGTAATGAGGGTCTGAGTTTGGGTGCTGCTTGTGTGATGGGGAAGAAGGGATGGATGGGTGAATACAGAGATGTGTGACCCTGGACCTAACCCCTGCAATGCTCCCAGGTAATGCTCTAAAATGATACTGAGTTATAACAAGTCTTATTATAAAACTATAAGAGGAGTTGTTGTAAAGTTTGGAGAGAGATAGAAAGTGGGGAAGTAGAAAACAGTAAGGTTTGACAGCTGATTAGAGATGCAGTTGAGAAAAGGGGTGACAATGAGATTCTAAGTCTGGGTGCCTAGGAAGATGGTAGCTCCCTTAATAGAAATGACAACTTTGAAAGGGGCAGCTTGGTGGTGCAGTGGATAGAGCACCGGCCCTGGATTCAGGAGGACCTGAGTTCAAATCTGGCCTCAGACACATAACACTTACTAGCTGTGTGACCCTGGGCAAGTCACTTAACCCCATTGCCTAGCCAAAAACAAAACAAAACAAAACAAAACTGAAATGACAACTTTGGGAGGAGGAACAGGGCTGGGGGGAAAGGTTGGTTTGGGACATGTGGGTCTGAGTCACACTTGTGTGATATCCAGGTAGAGATGTCCATCAGGTGGTGGACCAGGCAGGTCTGAAGCTCAGGAGAGAGTGCAGGGCTGAAGATACAGATTTGAGAGTCTTCTGTGTAGAGGTGACAGCTGGAGCCAGGAGAGAAGATGAGATCACAAAGCAGGGTGGGCAAGAGAGTGGAGAGAGAAGAGAATGTGACTCAGGACAGACCTCTTGGGTGCAACAACATTAGGGGACCTGAAATCGAAGACAAGCTTCTAAGTGTCTGGATCTGGATTTGAAGCAGGTGTTTCTGAATCCAGGTCCAACGCTCTATTCACTCTCTGGAATAGGATCAAGGCAGCTCTCAGAAGATGTCCTCGAGCTTTTCAAAACCTGATGTATTCTGTCCACTGAGGCAGAGGTGGCAGAGGTTGCACTGGGTGCTTCAGGAGGAGATGGATGGGAGCTATGGCAGAGGAAAATGTAATAGGAGACAATACAAATTGAATGAAAGGGATTGCCAGGCAGGAGTAAAGACTCAGCTAAAGTTTTGCAAACACAAATTTATAATGGAGGAAACTAGACTCAAAAATATTTGTCAAATGTCATGAAGTACATTTAATTAATATGGGGAGAACAGGGGGAGGGAGGTCAGCTCTCTATAGAGGCCTAGTGGGATGCTAAGCAGAGCCTGTAGGTCAGATTCAGGTGCTCTGGGAGCACTGAAGTCAGAGTGTGTGTGTGTGTGTCTGTGTGTTGAAATGACCTTCCATTACTGTTGAGAATTCTCAGGGATTTGTCTGAAACAAGGTTGCAGCTGGACACTTCCCTGAGGGCCCAGTACCCATCCTGAAATCAGTGGGCTATGGGCAGAATTGGCATTGGAGTAGGGAAAAAAAGGAAATGTGAACGTAGGTGTCTGAGGGCTATTTGTTGGGAAGAGTGTAAGGAATTTTGGAACCTAGAGGCCTAGTTGGGCCAAATAAGGGGCCTAAGTTCTATGGGTTTGTTTATTGCCTCCCCTCCCCTCCCCTCCCCTCCCCTCTCCTTCCCTTTCCTCCCTTCCCCTCTCCCTTCCCCTCTCCTCTCCTTTCCTCTCCTCTCCTTCCATCTCTCTCCAAACCTTCCAACAACTCTTCTTATAGTTTTATAATAAGACTTGTTATAACGCAGTATCATTTTAGAGGATTACCTGGGAGCATTGTAGGGGTAGGTGACTTGCCCAGGGTCACACAGTCAGAATAGATTAGAAGTAAGATGAACCCAGACCTTCCTGCTTCTCATAATGCTTCTCCTCTACTTTAGTCTCTGGAAAAACCCTCTTCTCAGGGGACCTGAAAGGTAAAGAAACAGAACAGTGCCCTGGGAGCTCATGTTCCCTGACCCCTCTCCCATTCAGTAGCTCAGGAGAGCCGGGGAGGTGGGTAGCTCAGCAGCGCCCCAGCTCCACTCCAGTATTGCTTGCTTTGAAACAGTGCCCTTTGCTTCAGCAGGACCCTCTTAGGGATCAAGGGATGGGGTTAGGGTGGGAAGGTGGTCCTTATAGGATCCCTCATCCCTCTGCCCCCTCAGGCCTCCCCAGGACATCAGCCTGGAAGAATTTGATGACGAAGACCTTTCTGAGATCACCGACGACTGTGGCATTGGTCTCAACTATGATTCGGACCCTTGTGAGAAGGTGGGGAGGAGGTGGGGCTGACAGGGGTAGGGATGTGTGAATGAAGCATTGGTATGCATGGGAGCCCATGCAGGACAGATGGGGTGTAGTAGGAAGGGGCTGGGTTCAGGCTTTTGCTGTTCTGTTCTCCTGTAGTGTCTGTTGTTGGATAATCTGGAGATGGGGAACCTTTAGGCTCCTCTCAGTCTCTTAATATGGAGATCCTATCAGGGTCTAGCCTTCTTCCCTCTTGCTGCTGGATACCCCCTGTTGGGACTTATCCCTAAGGGGGCTGGTTCATGCTGTGGCTTTTCATGTCTCCAGCAATCCCAACCTAGGCCCAACACAATTACAGAATCTGGAGGTGAACGAGTTCCCAGAGGGCCCATGGTACATCCCCTTCCTAACCAAAGAGCTCCCCTATAACAAACCAGATAAGTGATCAACCAGCGAACAGCCTGAAGATCTCCAGGGAGAAGGACCCCACCACTGCCCTAGGCAGCCCTTCCTACTCTGGGACAGCTCCCACTGTTGGGTTGTTTTTCTTTACATCGAGTCTAAATTTGACTCCTCGAAAAGCCCTCCCATTGCTTCTGGTTCAGCATGGACAGAGAAAGGAACTGGAGCTGCCATTTCATTGATTTAGAGAACTCC